GGGGGGTGGGGAGGGTGACGGTGGGAGTGGGGGAAGACTCAGAGGCCCGGCCGAGCAGGATGGAGGGACCCGGATGGGGAGCAGAGGGCTAGACTCCTCGAGTGTGCACGGAGTGTTACCGGGAAGGAAGTCACCTGGGCATCGTCTGTCCAGGGCTGGAGACCCATCCCCACGCCTCCAGGAGCAGGCCTGCCTGAGGATCCCTCACTCTTGGGTCTTTGCACAACACCATCCCTCAAGGCCCCCTGCAGCCTTGATCTCCATAACCTCTGAACTCCTGTCAATATCAACATTCAGAGGCCACAGAATCCCCTGAAAGGGAGGCCTTCCCCTCCGTCCCACTGCATCTTGGTTACTGGCATCCCCACATCGCTTTCAATGCTAACCTGCCCCTCTCTCAATACAGGTGGGTGCCTCCCAACCCCCACTCCCAGCGCCATACAAAGCTAGCGGCACTGTTAAGGGTTTGGTCTCCCCTGCCCTGTGGCCTTCTGTTCATCTTTCCGTCCCCATGACCAAACGGCAAGGTCGCTCTGAGGACACGCTCTCATCGGCACCTGGTCTTCTTGGTGTCCTTGGCCAGTGTCCTATGTTCACCAGCCCTGGGGGAGTCTGGCCTCTAGACCACCACTGACCATCCCCACCCCCCCAACCCCCCCAGATCTCCTGAGGGTCCGGCAAGAGGTGGCAGCAGCATCTGTGAGGAGCCCCAGTGGCCTGGAAGTCCACTTACCCTCATCCACGGCAGGTCAGCGCCGAAAGCAGGGCCTGGCTCAGCACCGAGAGGGCGCCATGCCAGCTGGCACCCCATCCTTCTCAGAGAGGTACTGGGTGCCCACATCAGAAAAGGCCCCATATTCTCTTTGCTGGCTTCTCAGATACACCCAGCACCTGGTTTCTGCAGGTCACATCCACAGCCTGCATCTGCCCTCAGTCGTGCACACACTCTCCTCCCCCCCACAGTCACACGCAGCCATGTTGGTACAGAAAGTGTGCCAGGCAGTGTGCTGGCCCTAGGTTCATGGTCTGACCCCCGAGTTGGTCAGAGGCCTAGAACACTCCTGGAATAGAATGGGGGGG